TAACATGTAACACACGGACATCTGTGACTGTTTTAACATGTAACACACGGACATCTGTGACTGTTTTAACATGTAACACACGGACATCTGTGACTGTTTTAACATGTAACACACGGACATCTGTGACTGTTTTAACATGTAACACACGGACATCTGTGACTGTTTTAACATGTAACACACGGACATCTGTGACTGTTTTAACATGTAACACACGGACATCTGTGACTGTTTTAACATGTAACACACGGACATCTGTGACTGTTTTAACATGTAACACACGGACATCTGTGACTGTTTTAACATGTAACACACGGACATCTGTGACTGTTTTAACATGTAACACACGGACATCTGTGACTGTTTTAACATGTAACACACGGACATCTGTGACTGTTTTAACATGTAACACACGGACATCTGTGACTGTTTTAACATGTAACACACGGACATCTGTGACTGTTTTAACATGTAACACACGGACATCTGTGACTGTTTTAACATGTAACACACGGACATCTGTGACTGTTTTAACATGTAACACACGGACATCTGTGACTGTTTTAACATGTAACACACGGACATCTGTGACTGTTTTAACATGTAACACACGGACATCTGTGACTGTTTTAACATGTAACACACGGACATCTGTGACTGTTTTAACATGTAACACACGGACATCTGTGACTGTTTTAACATGTAACACACGGACATCTGTGACTGTTTTAACATGTAACACACGGACATCTGTGACTGTTTTAACATGTAACACAAGGACATCTGTGACTGTTTTAACATGCAACACGGACATCAATGACTGTTTTAACATGTAACACACGGATATCTGTATCTGTTTTAACATGTAACACACGGACATCTGTGACTGTTTTAACATGTAACACACGGACATCAATGACTGTTTTAACATGTAACACAGACATCAATGACTGTTTTAACATGTAACACGGACATCTGTATCTGTTTTAACATGTAACTAGGACATCTGTGACTGTTTTAACATGTAACTAGGATTTCAGTGACTGATTTCAATTTAACACACAGACATCTGTGACTGTTTTAACATGTAACACACGGACGTCTGTGACTGTTTTAACATGTAACACACGGACATCTGTGACTGTTTTAACATGTAACACGGACATCAATGACTGTTTTAACATGTAACACACGGACGTCTGTGACTGTTTTAACATGTAACACACGGACATCTGTGACTGTTTTAACATGTAACACACGGACATCTGTGACTGTTTAAACATGTAACACACAGACATCTGTGACTGTTTTAACATGTAACACACGGACATCAATGACTGTTTTAACATGTAACACACAGACATCTGTGACTTGTAACCTACGGACTCAGACGAGACCAGTTTGACTTGTACATGTAACATACAGACGAGACCAGGCCCACTTGTAACATACAGACGAGACCAGGCCCATTTGTAACAAACAGACGAGACAAGGCCCATTTGTAACATACAGACGAGACCAGGCCCATTTGTAACATACAGACGAGACCAGTTTGACTTGTAACATACAGACTCAGACGAGACCAGTTTGACTTGTAACATACAGACGAGACCAGTTTGTCTTGTAACATACAGACGAGATCAGGCCAACTTGTAACATACAGACGAGACCAGGCCCATTTGTAACAAACAGACGAGACCAGGCCCATTTGTAATATACAGACGAGACCAGGCCCACTTGTAGCTTACAGACGAGACCATGCCCACCTGTATCATACAGACGAGGCCAGGCCCACTTGTAGAATACAGAGGAGACCATGCCCACTTTAACATACAGACGAGACCAGGCCCACTTGTAGGTTACAGACAAGAACAGGCCCACTTGTAACATACAGACGAGACCAGGCCCAATTGTAACATACAGACGAGACCAGGCCCACTTGTAGCTTACAGACGAGACCATGCCCACCTGTATCATACAGACGAGGCCAGGCCCACTTGTAGAATACAGAGGAGACCATGCCCACTTTAACATACAGACGAGACCAGGCCCACTTGTAGGTTACAGACAAGAACAGGCCCACTTGTAACATACAGACGAGACCAGACCCACCTGTAACATACAGAGGAGACCAGGCCAACTTGTAACAAACAGACTAAACCAGGGCCATTTGTAACATACAGACGAGAACAGGCCCACTTGTAACATACAGACGAGACCAGGACCACTTGTAACATACAGACGAGACCAGGCCCAATTGTATCATACAGACGAGACCAGGCCCACTTGTAACAAAAAGACGAGACAAGGCCCACTTGTAACATACAGACGAGACCAGGACCACTTGTAACATACAGACGAGACCAGGCCCAATTGTATCATACAGACGAGACCAGGCCCACTTGTAACAAACAGACGAGACCAGACCCACCTGTATCATACAGAGGAGACCAGGCCCACTTGTAGCTTACAGACGAGACCATGCCCACCTGTATCATACAGACGAGGCCAGGCCCACTTGTAGAATACAGAGGAGACCATGCCCACTTTAACATACAGACGAGACCAGGCCCACTTGTAGCTTACAGACGAGACCATGCCCACCTGTATCATACAGACGAGGCCAGGCCCACTTGTAGAATACAGAGGAGACCATGCCCACTTTAACATACAGACGAGACCAGGCCCACTTGTAACAAAAAGACGAGACAAGGCCCACTTGTAACATACAGACGAGACCAGGCCCATTAGTAACAAACAGACGAGACCAGGCCCATTTGTAACATACAGACAAGACCAGGCCCATTTGTAACATACAGACGAGACCAGGACCACTTGTAACATACAGACGAGACCAGGCCCTATTGTAACATACAGACGAGACCAGGCCCACCTGTATCATACAGAGGAGACCAGGCCAACTTGTAACAAACAGACGAAACCAGGGCCATTTGTAACATACAGACGAGACCAGGCCCACTTGTAACATACAGACGAGACCAGGCCCACCTGTATCATACAGAGGAGACCAGGCCCACTTGTAGCTTACAGACGAGACCATGCCCACCTGTATCATACAGACGAGGCCAGGCCCACTTGTAGAATACAGAGGAGACCATGCCCACTTTAACATACAGACGAGACCAGGCCCACTTGTAATATACAGACGAGACCATGCCCACTTGTAACATACAGACGAGACCAGGCCCATTTGTAACATACAGACGAGACCAGGCCCACTTGTAACAAACAGACGAGACTAGGCCCATTTGTAACATACAGACGAGACCAGGCCCACTTGTACCATACAGGCGAGACAAGGCCCACCTGTAGCTTACAGACAAGACCAGGCCCATTTGTAACATACAGACGAGACCAGGACCACTTGTAACATACAGACGAGACCAGGCCCCTTGAAACACACAGGCGAGACCAAGCCCACTTGAAACATACAGACGAGACCAGGCCCACTTGTACCATACAGACGAGACAAGGCCCACCTGTAGCTTACAGACAAGACCAGGCCCATTTGTAACATACAGACGAGACCATGCCCACTTGTAACATACAGACGAGACCAAGCCCACTTGAAACATACAGAGGAGACCTGCAGGCCCACTTGTAACATACAGGCGAGACCAGGCCCACTTGGAACATACAGACGAGACCAGGCCCACTTGTAGCTTACAGAAAAGACCAGGCCCACTTGTAACATACAGACGAGGCCAGGCCCACTTGTAACATACAGACGAGACCAAGCCCACTTGTAACATACAGGCGAGACCAGGCCCACTTGGAACATACAGACGAGACCAGGCCCACTTGTAGCATACAGACAAGACCAGGCCCATTTGTAACATACAGACGAGACCAGGACCACTTGTAACATACAGACGAGACCAGGCCCACTTGTAGCTTACAGACAAGACCTGGCCCATTTGTAACATACAGACGAGACCAGGCCCACCTGTATCATACAGAGGAGACCAGGCCCACTTGTAGCTTACAGACGAGACCAGGCCCACCTGTATCATACAGACGAGGCCAGGCCCACTTGTAGAATACAGAGGAGAACATGCCCACTTGTAACATACAGCCGAGACCAGGCCCACTTGTAATATACAGACGAGACCATGCCCATTTGTAACATACAGACGAGACCACGCCCACTTGTAACATACAGACGAGACCAAGCCCACTTGAAACATACAGAGGAGCCCTGCAGGCCCACTTGTAACATACAGGCGAGACCAGGCCGACTTGTAACATACAGACGAGACCAAGCCCACTTGAAACATACAGAGGAGACCTGCAGGCCCACTTGTAACATACAGACGAGACCAAGCCCACTTGTAACATACAGGCGAGACCAGGCCGACTTGTAACATACAGACGAGACCAAGCCCACTTGTAACATACAGGCGAGACCAGGCCGACTTGTAACATACAGACGAGACCAAGCCCACTTGAAACATACAGAGGAGACCTGCAGGCCCACTTGTAACATACAGGCGAGACCAGGCCCACTTGGAACATACAGACGAGACCAGGCCCACTTGTAGGTTACAGACAAGAACAGGCCCACTTGTAACATACAGACGAGACCAAGCCCACTTGTAACATACAGGCGAGACCAGGCCCACTTGGAACATACAGACGAGACCAGGCCCACTTGTAGCTTACAGAAAAGACCAGGCCCACTTGTAACATACAGACGAGACTAGGCCAACTTGTAACATACAGGAGAGATCAGGCCCACTTGTAACATACAGACATACAGCTATGACTAACTAACTTTGGCTGAACGCCATGGTCGAATGAAACAATCACTCACACAATCCCTGATTATTGTACAAATTAGACACAAATTAAAATGCACTTAAGAAAGAAGAGAGTACAACTTGCAATCACAGTACCTTTATACATTCCATGAGCTACCTCACACAATAACTTTCAAGAGGAGAAGGAAAACTATCCAGTTTTCACTTCAACATGTGAATTATAGCTTATACAGGTGAGTTAAATAAGATTCTAATAACATGAACACATTTAAACTATTTACTGTTTTAAAACAGCATTTTCATTTGTAGAATTGCAATAGTTTTGCAGATATGACATTATATTATTGATCATGTACAGAGTAAGTTTATCATAAGGAAAAAATATATTTAAAATTGCAATTGTAACCCATTATAGTTTTTGCTCAAGTCTCCTAAACTGACAAGTATTCGAAGTTATTCTTAGCATATATACATGCATGGGGAGGAAAAGTGTGAATTATGGTTACAACAAGAAATGATCATTTAACTGATGTTCAGTAAAACACAGCTTTAAATATACACAAATCTGTGTAGACGTACAATACAGACTATGTAATGATAAGAAAGATCTTAAGTTTGACACAATAACTTGTAAAACACAGAATACAACATAAAAACTAATGTTAATAAAATCACTTTCAGTTTCTTTTTTCTCTAACAATTTTTGAATGATGTAAACATTAAGATGTAAAAGTAGGAATGACATCTATTGGATTGTAACAAAGCTTTGGGCATACACCACTTCCCCGGCATGTACAAACAACTTAGTGACAAATTATCAGTTTTTAGATACAGGATGTGATGTCACAGTTGATATGATTAATAAGTTAGAACTTCAGTCAACAATGGTTAGCATTCACCGTCTTCTGAATTTGTGGAACAGTGTCTTCTGCGCAATTGTAGAGGGTCATCAAAATGTATCACAGGAAATTTGGCTGTGCCGGAGGTTGAGTTGCCCCCTTTGTTGGCTGTGCTGAAGTAAAGGTTACCCCCTATGTCTAATGCAGAGCTATCACAATTGGCGCCCTGCTCCAAGTCCACAAGAAGTTCTCCTGAGGAAGGTGGCTGCACTAGGACAGAAGGTTGACCACCATTACACTTATTGTCTTGGTTACTATGGTGACAGGGGTTATTGTCATGACAACTAGAGAGGTTACTATGGTGGCTATTGAAACTGTCGGGTACATGACAAGGCACTGTAGGAAGCTGTTTTTTATAATGACTATTGTCATGTTGACAAACCGGCTGCTTGCTATCTTGTGAATCTTTCATGCTCTGTTGACTACTTGAAGTGTCTGTGGGACTCATGTGACACACCTGATTCTTGGTGTCATGTGAGTCTATCATGCTCTGTCTGCTCTCTGTGGTGTCTGTCGGGGTACTACTGAGTGCATCCTCATCCTCTGGTGCCTCTGCAAGTAGCAGGGTTCGCTCACCGGGAATATCAGGGGAGAAGTAGGAGTCTACAAGGTCATCACCTAGCTCTTCCTCCTCCGTGTCATCACCAGTGATCTGGCGCACCTCCTCATCACAAGCTTCTTCGTCACCTGTCCAATCGCTTGTAGTTGAGCAGTCATTGTCATTTGACTGCGAGTCACATGTGCTGCTACGGTTCAACTGACTAGGATTCCTGGGAGTGAATGATGAAGTGAGAGAGTCTACTTTATCTGTAGGACATTGCGCAGATTGGGAACATACCACAGGGCCTTGTGCTAATGGATGCAAGACAGAGTAGCCTTTTGTCGTTTGTTTATGCTGAGAATCATTTTGTGGTCTGTGTGGACTAGCACCAGAACAGTAGCGGTCTCGCACTCGTGCCTTCTCTGCACCACTACTTTGACTTCGCTGCAGATAGCTGATTCGCCGCTGGCTTGGACAAGCTGACAGTTTTGACAATTTTGAAGCTTTGATGGGCTCCATGCCTACAATCAACAAGGAGGGCTGCGATTGTGACACTTTCTCGCGATACTTTTGGCAGGGAGATAACAGAAGTTTTCCGCGGGTATTAACACACTCCTCAGTGATCGGGGGACTATCATAATCACAGCTTTTTTGGCGTACAAGTTTTCTGTCCTTAAACCGCTGTTTTTGTTGTGGACTGACAGTTTTTGCATTAGGATTTAGGTAGTTCATATGTGGTATACGACACATGTTATCACCATTATCTTCCACAGTTAACGGGTCATTGTCAAGGTTTGTTTCCATATAACTGGAGTTGTCAGAGTAGCAGGTAGATGGTGTAAGGGGCACATCCAGGGTTGATGACCCAGACAAATCCACACTGCTGTCAAAGCTGGATATTGTGATGTCAACAGGCACTAGCAGAGATCCTGTAACACAAGCAAACATAGTTACAAATAAGCAGCTAACATTATACAACAAAGGTAAACCCCTGTATGACAGTATATCAACTTGTTAGGTAATTACATCAAACATTACAACATATTTTGATGAGTTATAAGCAGGATCCAGTCTAGATACGTTACTTACACTCACTTCATTTTTCTTCATTGACCTGTTTTTTAGTTATCCTATACTTACCATGAGAGGGTTCACCGTCATTCGGGGGTTCATTGCTGGGGGGTCGGAAGGTAAAGCTGGGAGGGAGAGATGCTTGTTTGCAGATTGGAGTCTTCAGCTTACGTACATATGATGGGACCGGTGTTTTACTCTTTATCATCATCTAAAAAGAAAGTTAAGAGACCTGTAAACCCAATCAACTAATATGATCAAGCAAGAATTGCTTCGATTTTCTTTAAACACGAAGTTAACTCTCTTGGAGAAATTCATTATATAATGTATCAATGATAGATTAAATTACCTCCATCTCAATCTGAATTACCTCCATATCACTCTGTATTACCTCCATCTAAGTCGGTATTACCTCTATCTCAGTCAGAATTACCTCTATCTCAGTCTGAATTACCTCCATCTCAGTCTGAATAACCTCTATCTCAGTCTGTATTACCTCTATCTCAGTCTGTATTACCTCTAAATCAGTCTGAATTACCTCTATCTCAGTCTTAATTATCTCTATCTCAGTCTGTATTACCTCCATCTCAGTCTGAATAACCTCTATTTTAGTCGGAATAACCTCTATTTTAGTCTGTATTACCTCTATCTCAGTCAGAATTACCGCTATCTCAGTCTGAATTACCTCTATCTCAGTCTGAATAACCTCTATCTCAGTACCTCCATCTCAGTCAGAATTACCTACATCTCAGTCTGAATTATCTCTACTTCAGCCTGAATTACCTCTATCTCAGTATGAATAACCTCCATCTCAGTCTGAATTACCTCTATCCCAGTCAGAATTACCTCTATCTCAGTCTGAATTACCTCCATCTCAGTCAGAATTACCTCTATCTCAGTCTAAATTATCTCTATCTCAGTCTGAATTACCTCCATCTCAGTCTGTATTACCTCCATCTCAGTCTGTATTACCTCCATCTCAGTCTGTATTACCTCCATCTCAGTCTGAATTACCTCTACCTCAGTCTAATTTACCTCTATCTCAGTACCTCCATCTCAGTCTGAATTACCTCTATCTCAGTCTGTATTACTTCCATCTCAGTCTTAATTATCTCTATCTCAGTCTGTATTACCTCCATCTCAGTCTGTATTACCTCCATCTCAGTCTGTATTTCCTCTACCTCAGTCTGAATAACCTCTATTTTAGTCTGAATTACCTCCATCTCAGTCTGAATTACCTCTATCTCAGTCTGTATTACCTCCATCTCAGTCTGTATTTCCTCTACCTCGGTCTGAATAACCTCTATTTTAGTCTGAATTACCTCTATCTCAGTCTGAATAACCTCTATTTTAGTCTGTATTACCTCTATCTCAGTCTGAATAACCTCTATTTTAGTCTGAATAACCTCTATTTTAGTCTGAATTACCTCCATCTCAGTCTGAATTACCTCTATCTCAGTCTGAATAACCTCTATTTTAGTCTGAATTACCTCTATTTTAGTCTGAATTACCTCCATCTCAGTCTGAATTACCTCTATCTCAGTCTGAATAACCTCTATTTTAGTCTGAATTACCTCTATCTCAGTCTGAATAACCTCTATCTCAGTCTGTATTACCTCTACATCAGTCTGAATTACCTCCATCTCAGTCTGTATTACCTCTATCTCAGTCTGTATTACCTCTATCTCAGTCTGTATTACCTCTATCTCAGTCTGTATTACCTCTACATCAGTCTGAATTACCTCCATCTCAGTCTGTATTACCTCCATCTCAGTCTGTATTACCTCTATCTCAGTCTGTATTACCTCTATCTCAGTCTGTATTACCTCTATCTCAGTCTGTATTACCTCTATCTCAGTCTGTATTACCTCTATCTCAGTCTGTATTACCTCTATCTCAGTCTGTATTACCTCTATCTCAGTCTGTATTACCTCTATCTCAGTCTGTATTACCTCTATCTCAGTCTGTATTACCTCTATCTCAGTCTGTATTACCTCTATCTCAGTCTGTATTACCTCTATCTCAGTCTGTATTACCTCTATCTCAGTCTGTATTACCTCTATCTCAGTCTGTATTACCTCTATCTCAGTCTGTATTACCTCTATCTCAGTCTGTATTACCTCTATCTCAGTCTGTATTACCTCTATCTCAGTCTGTATTACCTCTATCTCAGTCTGTATTACCTCTATCTCAGTCTGTATTACCTCTATCTCAGTCTGTATTACCTCTATCTCAGTCTGTATTACCTCTATCTCAGTCTGTATTACCTCTATCTCAGTCTGAATTACCTCCATCTCAGTCTGTATTACCTCTATCTCAGTCTGAATTACCTCTATCTCAGTCTGTATTACCTCTATCTCAGTCTGTATTACCTCTATCTCAGTCTGTATTACCTCCATCTCAGTCTGAATTACCTCTATCTCAGTCTGAATTACCTCCATCTCAGTCTGAATTACCTCTATCTCAGTCTGAATTACCTCTATCTCAGTCTGTATTACCTCTATCTCAGTCTGTATTACCTCTATCTCAGTCTGTATTACCTCTATCTCAGTCTGTATTACCTCTATCTCAGTCTGTATTACCTCTATCTCAGTCTGTATTACCTCTATCTCAGTCTGTATTACCTCTATCTCAGTCTGTATTACCTCTATCTCAGTCTGTATTACCTCTATCTCAGTCTGTATTACCTCTATCTCAGTCTGTATTACCTCTATCTCAGTCTGTATTACCTCTATCTCAGTCTGTATTACCTCTATCTCAGTCTGAATTACCTCTATCTCAGTCTGTATTACCTCTATCTCAGTCTGTATTACCTCTATCTCAGTCTGTATTACCTCTATCTCAGTCTGAATTACCTCTATCTCAGTCTGTATTACCTCTATCTCAGTCTGTATTACCTCTATCTCAGTCTGTATTACCTCTATCTCAGTCTGTATTACCTCTATCTCAGTCTGTATTACCTCTATCTCAGTCTGAATTACCTCCATCTAAGTCTGTATTACCTCTACATCAGTCTGAATTACCTCTATCTCAGTCTGAATAACCTCCATCTCAGTCTGTATTACCTCTACATCAGTCTGAATTACCTCTATCTCAGTCTGAATTTCCTCCATCTCAGTCTGTATTACCTCTATCTCAGTCTGAATTACCTACATCTAAGTCTGTATTACCTTTACATCAGTCTGAATTACCTCTATCTCAGTCTGAATTACCTCCATCTCAGTCTGTATTACCTCTATCTCAGTCTGAATTACCTCCATCTCAGTCTGTATTACCTCTACATCAGTCTGAATTACCTCTATCTCAGTCTGAATAACCTCTATCTCAGTCTGAATTACCTCCATCTCAGTATGAATAACCTCCATCTCAGTCTGTATTACCTCCATCTCAGTCTGTATTACCTCCATCTCAGTCTGAATTACTTCTATCTCAGTCTGTATTACCTCTATCTCAGTCTGTATTACCTCTATCTCAGTCTGTATTACCTCTATCTCAGTCTGTATTACCTCTATCTCAGTCTGAATTACCTCTATCTCAGTCTGTATTACCTCTATCTCAGTCTGTATTACCTCCATCTCAGTCTGAATTACCTCTATCTCAGTCTGAATTACCTCCATCTCAGTCTGTATTACCTCTATCTCAGTCTGTATTACCTCTATCTCAGTCTGTATTACCTCTATCTCAGTCTGTATTACCTCTATCTCAGTCTGTATTACCTCTATCTCAGTCTGTATTACCTCTATCTCAGTCTGTATTACCTCTATCTCAGTCTGTATTACCTCTATCTCAGTCTGTATTACCTCTATCTCAGTCTGTATTACCTCTATCTCAGTCTGTATTACCTCTATATCAGTCTGAATTACCTCCATCTCAGTCTGTATTACCTCTATCTCAGTCTGTATTACCTCTATCTCAGTCTGTATTACCTCTATCTCAGTCTGTATTACCTCTATCTCAGTCTGTATTACCTCTATCTCAGTCTGTATTACCTCTATCTCAGTCTGTATTACCTCTATCTCAGTCTGTATTACCTCTATCTCAGTCTGTATTACCTCTATCTCAGTCTGTATTACCTCTATCTCAGTCTGTATTACCTCTATCTCAGTCTGTATTACCTCTATCTCAGTCTGTATTACCTCTATCTCAGTCTGTATTACCTCTATCTCAGTCTGTATTACCTCTATCTCAGTCTGTATTACCTCTATCTCAGTCTGTATTACCTCTATCTCAGTCTGTATTACCTCTATCTCAGTCTGTATTACCTCTATCTCAGTCTGTATTACCTCTATCTCAGTCTGTATTACCTCTATCTCAGTCTGTATTACCTCTATCTCAGTCTGTATTACCTCTATCTCAGTCTGTATTACCTCTATCTCAGTCTGAATTACCTCTATCTCAGTCTGTATTACCTCTATCTCAGTCTGTATTACCTCTATCTCAGTCTGTATTACCTCTATCTCAGTCTGTATTACCTCCATCTCAGTCTGAATTACCTCTATCTCAGTCTGAATTACCTCCATCTCAGTATGAATTACCTCTATCTCAGTCTGTATTACCTCTATCTCAGTCTGTATTACCTCTATCTCAGTCTGTATTACCTCCATCTCAGTCTGAATTACCTCTATCTCAGTCTGAATTACCTCCATCTCAGTCTGAATTACCTCTATCTCAGTCTGTATTACCTCTATCTCAGTCTGTATTACCTCTATCTCAGTCTGTATTACCTCTATCTCAGTCTGTATTACCTCTATCTCAGTCTGAATTACCTCTATCTCAGTCTGTATTACCTCTATCTCAGTCTGTATTACCTCTATCTCAGTCTGTATTACCTCTATCTCAGTCTGTATTACCTCTATCTCAGTCTGTATTACCTCTATCTCAGTCTGTATTACCTCTATCTCAGTCTGTATTACCTCTATCTCAGTCTGTATTACCTCTATCTCAGTCTGTATTACCTCTATCTCAGTCTGTATTACCTCTATCTCAGTCTGTATTACCTCTATCTCAGTCTGTATTACCTCTATCTCAGTCTGAATTACCTCTATCTCAGTCTGTATTACCTCTATCTCAGTCTGTATTACCTCTATCTCAGTCTGTATTACCTCTATCTCAGTCTGAATTACCTCTATCTCAGTCTGTATTACCTCTATCTCAGTCTGTATTACCTCTATCTCAGTCTGTATTACCTCCATCTCAGTCTGTATTACCTCCATCTCAGTCTGTATTACCTCTATCTCAGTCTGAATTACCTCCATCTCAGTCTGTATTACCTCCATCTCAGTCTGTATTACCTCTATCTCAGTCTGTATTACCTCTATCTCAGTCTGTATTACCTCTACATCAGTCTGAATTACCTCCATCTCAGTCTGAATTACCTCCATCCCAGTCTGAATTTCCTCCATCTCAAGAGTTAACTTCATTTCTGATTTACCTCCAATTATCACTAATTCCATCACTGACAGAAATGCCCTATGTCTCGGACAGAATTGCCCTTTTCTCAAACTTAATAACTTCCACTTCTTAAACTGAATAACCCTCATCCTTAACTGAATTACCATCATCAATGTCAGAATTACCTTCATTTTACACTGAATTTACCTCCCTCACAGACTGAATTACCTCCATCTCTTCTTCTTTAACATTGACATCTCTACCAGTTGATTCTTCTTTTTCTTCATCATTTTCATCCTCCCCATCTATCAGATCATCTTCATCTACCATGCGGTGAGATTCCTGTGCGATGTTTCAAAAGAAATCAATGACTTATGATGGCAATGTATGTAACTTTCCAATTGACTACAGCACGGCTGTGTCTTAGAGTTGATTTTTTTTTTCAGATTTCTTTTTTGCACAAAAAGCAATATTTCCACCCAGAGGAAGCAGGAGCTTATCTGCTGTGCAACTTGACATGGAAATTGTATTATATGTATTGTTAGTATTTTTTTTCGAAAATCATTAAGGTTTTCAAAATGTTCAAACTTCAAAACCTGTTCTTGTTTTCATATATATAGGAAATAATGTACATTTCAAAGGAATTATGTTTTTAATTTAGTTAGATACTTTCTCATTACTGATTTGTCTGACATTAAATTAAGTTAGATTTTATTACCTTTGGCTCGAGGTCTAAAACAAGAGGCCCAATGGGCCTGCATGGCTCACCTGGTGTTAATCTCACACTTGTAATCTTAAAAGTGGACTAAAATACAGCCAAAGGCAACATTGCTCCAAAGTGTCATAGCGAAATGTTCACCAGTGAAAAGATACAAAATTTAACCTTGACCTTTAACCCAATGACCTTGACCTTTGGTCAGTTGACTCCTTGTTTAATTCTGATCAACTTTGCTTCATCATGTCATAACAAAATGTTCATCAGTGAAAGATACAAAACTTGACCTGGACCTTTGAATCGAATGACCTTGACATTTGACCTCAACTTTTTACCTCAGTGTGTCTCTTTGCTAATTCCGAACAACTTTGCTTCATAATGTTATAACAAAATGTTCATCAGTGAAAAGATGCAAAATTTGACCTTGACCTTTGAATCTAATGACCTTGACCTTTGACCTCATCTTTTTACCTCAGTGTGTCTCTTTGTTTTATTTCGAACAACTTTGCTTCATAATGTCATAGCGAAATGTTCACCAGTGAAAAGATACAAAATTTAACCTTGACCCCTGACCCGATGACCTTGACCTTTGATCAGTTGACTCCTTGTTTAATTCTGATCAACTTTGCTTCATCATGTCATAACAAAATGTTCATCAGTGAAAAGATGCAAAATTTGACCTTGACCTTTGAATCTAATGACCTTGACCTTTGACCTCATCTTTTTACCTCAGTGTGTCTCTTTGTTTAATTCCGAACAACTTTGCTTCATAATGTTATAGCGAAATGTTAACCAGTGAAAATCTACAAAATTTGACCTTGACCCCTGATCCGATGACCTTGACCTTTGATCAGTTGATTCCTTGTTTAATTCTTATCAACTTTGCTTCATAATGTCATTTCAAAATGTTCATCAGTGAAAAGATGTAAAATTTTACCTTGACCTTGGAACCTAATGACCTTAATCTTTGACCTTGACTTTTTACCTCAATGTATATTTTTGTAAACTGAACATCTTGACCAAGTTTCATGAACATTGGTCAATAAATACCAAAGTAACAAAATTTGTTGACAGACAGACAGACAGACAGTGATTACTATAGGGCACCCGTATCGAATTAGATAGAAACTCTCTAAACCATTAATTGAGTGTTCTATTTTTATATTAAGTTATATACTCTCTATACCATTGATTTGTCTGTCAGTATATTTAGTTAGAAACTCTCTAGAAACTCTCTTAGAACCAACATTGATGTGTCTGTTTTTATATTAAGTTATATACTCTCTACACCATTGATTTGTCTGTCAGTATATTTAGTTATATACTCTCTACACCATTGATTTGTCTGTCAGTATATTAAGTTATATACTCACTACACCATTGAATTGTCGGTTTTTGTATTAAGTTATTTACTCTCTATACCATTCATTTGTTCGTTAACTATTCTGCCCTCTTATTGGAAATGACATTTAGAAGTTGCTTTGTCTTACCAGATTTTGAAACTAGCATTTGTTCAGTTTTTGTTTTTACTTTATATTTTAGAATTAAAGCTTAATAGAAAAATATTGTGAAGAAAGGAAATACTTTAATCTATACATATTTAATATATTTTAACATTTTCATTTTTATTTTAGATATAGAACCGATGACTCTTTTGTTTCAAGAATTGGAATTTCACCATATTTTATCAAACTATTGTTGAATAAGCAGACAATGCATATTTCTTCCCTGAGAATAAGAATAATATTGGAACACTGTTATAAAAATACCACAGCTGATATGCGGTAAAATCACACTACTTAGGCTAAGATATAATCAGAAATGTATACTTTTTTTTCAATCTTATGAAGCTATCTCAAACAAGTCAAACAATAGGAGGTTTAACAGGAAGTAGAAATACAAGCAGGTTTTACAGGAAGTAGAAACACAAGCAGGTTTTACAGGAAGTAAAAACAAGATCCTTACAGTATGTTTTTTTTTTTATATAGTGTTGTTTCAGAATACTCTTTTTGTTTTAAATATTTGGCCTGTCATTACCTAAGTTCATCATTTACAAGTTACCGGAAAATTTGATAATTCAATATTTAAACTTCCTCTAATGAAGTTTGAATATGATTTCCAAAGTTTAAAGAACAATCCGAAATTGTGTATGACCTATAACAGGGATTTTATGACTTTATCATCACAAGTCCACACAACAAGAGGCCCAGAGGGCCTGTATCGCTCACCTGGATACCTAAGCAATCATGGCAAACTATTCTCCAACTGAGATCAAGGGAATATGCCAGACCCCAAGGCCAATCCTTGTAGCATAGCTATATTAGATTTTTCATGCCCAGCAGTTTTTTGTATGGTTATGAGGTGGGGATCTCAACTGTTTCCAAGCTTTGACTCAGAAACTAGGTCCCTAGAGTTGTGGCCAGACCCCAGGATCGATTCTAATATCGTGACTGCATTTGTCTCTTTTTGCCAAGCATTTATATATAAAGTTTTGGGGTGGGGATATTAACCATTTCAAAGTTATGACCCAGGGGTTAAGTCTCCAAGGGTGGGGCAGTCACCAAGGCCAACCTGGAAGCATATGTGCAATCATCTCTTTATACTCAGCAATTTTATATATACGGTTATAGGGTGGGGCTCTCAACTGTTTCCAAGCTGTGACTAAGAACATAGGTCCCTAGGGGTTCGGTCAGACCCCAGGGTCTATTCTGATATCATGATTGCATTCGTCTCTTTATGCCCAGCATTTGTATATATAGTTTTGGGGTGGGGATCTCAACCGTTTTAAAGTTATGGCCCAGGGATTATGTCTCCAAGGGCGGGGCCAGACCCTAGGGACATCCTGGAAGCAAATGTGCATTCTTCTCTTTATACTCAGCAATTGTAAATATGGTTATATGGTGGGGATCTCAACCATTTCCAAGTAATGCATTTTATTGGCCCCACCCCTTAGCCCGGGGGGTCAGCCCCACCATTTGTACAATTTTGAATCCCTGCCTCCCATGAATACTTCCGACCAAATATGATCAATATCCATGGCATAGTTCCTCAGAAAAAGTCATTTATAGCAATATAACCAAATTGCCCCCTTTTGACCCTGCCCCTCAGCCCCCTGGGGGGTCAGCCCAACCGTTTGTACAATTTTGAATCTCCACCACCTAGAGATGCTTCCAGTCAAATATGGTTGACATCCACTTCTTAGTTCCAGAGAAGAAGTCACTTAAAGCAGTATAGCCAAATACCCTTTTTGGCCCTGCCCTTCAGCCCCCTGGGGGGTCAGCCACACTATTTGTACAATTTTAAATCCCTGCCTTCCAGGAATGCTTTTGATCAAATATGATTGATATCCAGTGCACAGTTCTTCAGAAGAAGTCGTTTGTAGCAGTATAGCCAAATTGCCCCCTTTTGGCCCCGCCCCTAAGCCCCCTGGGGAGTCAGCCCCCGCATTTGTACAATTTTTAATCACCACCACCTGGGATGCTTCCAGTCAAATATGGTTGATATCCACTTCTTAGTTTCAGAGAAGAAGTCGCTTAAAGCAATATGGGCAAATTGACCCCTTTTGGCCCCGCCCCTCAGCCCCCTGGGGGGTCAGCCCTACCATTTGTACAATTTTGAATCCCCACCACCTACGGATGCTTCCAGTCAAATTTAGTTAAATTCCAACCAGTGGTTAAGAAGAAGAAGTCGTTTAAAGAAATTGTTGACGTACGGACGTACGGACGACGGACGGACGACGGACGCCACTGTATGGCATAAGCTCACCTTGGTCCTTCGGACCAGGTGAGCTAAAAATCATTCGAAGAAATGCAGTAACAAATGTCTGCCAGGAATGTTCCTATATATGGTGTATCTTTGTCACATACATTTACATGAGACTAAAGGTCAAAGGCTATATTAGAAATAGCACCGACATATTAAAACTGATGTTATTATCAGCTGAAACATTGACTGAAACTAGACTAGGGAGGGGAGGGGGAACTGAAGTATATGTCCCCCAGGAAATATGTCTTTCATATTTTTTTGTTTACCTTAGTTTACTTTATGGAATCTCTCCCAAAAATTTATTTTAATTTGTGTCATCACTAAAATTGGATTCATGCCTGTGTAATGTACTACATGTCACTACAGGCATGTTCCCAGCATACATGTTTTTCTGTATTGGATAAATGACCATGACCCTGGAATATACAAGCCACAAGGAGGTATGGCATAACAAAACACATGTAGGCATCCATAAAATTTCTGAAATCAAAATAAAACAAAACTCTGGGTATAAGAAAGAAATAACACAGATGAGGAAAAGGCCATCTATCAGCATCACATATAACTTGATCCAACTTGGTTTCCGGAGAAAGGAATACAATAAATCAATGTCACAAAACACATAGTCAAATAGTCTCATGCAAAATTGTGCAGTGCTAAAGGAAGCAGAACAGACAATACTACACCAACGACAATATAATGTGTAATACATGCATACAGCTATCACAATAGAGAAACAGACAAGTGGGGCTTTGTATGTTACACACAATACTACTCGCCATCATCTCAAATTATACATTAAAATCCCTTTACTATTAGGAAAGATTAATGAAAGTTTTCCCTGAAAGTTATCGAGAAGAAACAATAATTTCACCACCAGAACAACATCAATTTTCTACAGAGACGCATCATAACAGACAGAAGGGGCCTCAACTCACTGCTCACCTGGTATTTGAGTTCAAATATTTCAGTTTTATTTTTATCATCCATTTCGTGTCGTAGCTCTTCCTCTACCTCATCGTCCAACTCTTTGTATTTGTAAGTTTCCTGTTAATTAAGCAGTTAATAGTATAACCAGATAACTGGTCATTGAGACACCCACCACTGAACAACTTTCACCATGGCAACCGAGGTGGTGTCCTAACCAGTTAGGCAAGTGGAGAAATAAGGTTTATCTGAAGGAAATGTTGATGACACTCACAGACACTAGTCTTCGATATTTTCTAAACACTTTAATTTGCCCCCAATATGGAAGTATTCATTTGCTGATATATAGTAAACATCAAGTAATTAAATAAATGTATTCTCATCAAAGATCAAGGTCAAACAAGGTAAACACTTACCTAAACATATATATACTGATCTTAGTGAGACACAGAGTGGAACACTTACCTATATACTGATCTTACTGAGACACAGAGTGGAACACTTACCTATATACTGATCTTAGTGAGACACAGAGTGGAACACCTACCTACATACTGTTCTAAGTGAGACACAAAGTAGAACACTTACCTATATACTAAACTTAGTGAGACACAAAGCAGAACACTTACCTATATACTGATCTTAGTGAGACATAGAGTGGAACACTTACCAATATACTGATCTTAGTGAGACACAGAGCTGAACACTTACCTACATACTGATCTTAGTGAGACACAGAGTGGAACACTTACCTATATACTGATCTTAGTGAGACACAGAGTGGAACACCTACCTTCATACTGATCTAAGGGAGACACAAAGTAGAACACTTACCTATATACTAATCTTAGTGAGACACAGAGCTGAACACTTACCTACATACTGATCTTAGTGAGACTCAGAGTGGAACACTTACCTATATACTGATCTTAGTGAGACACAGAGTGGAACACCTACCTACATACTGATCTAAGTGAGACACAAAGTAGAACACTTACCAATATACTTAACTTAGTGAGACACAGAGCAGAACACTTACCTATATACTGATCTTAGAGAGACACAGAGTAGAACACTTACCTATATACTGATCTTAGTGAGACACAGAGTGGAACACTTACCAACATACTGATCTTAGTGAGACACAGAGTGGAACACTTACCTACATACTGATCTTAGAGAGACACAGAGTGGAACACTTACCAACATACTGATCTTAGTGAGACACAGAGTGGAACACTTACCTATATACTGATCTTAGTGAGACACAGAGTGGAACACTTACCAACAAACTGGTCTTAGTGAGAAACAGAGTGGAACACTTACCTATATACTGATCTTAGTGAGACACAGAGCAGAACACTTACCTATACACTGATCTTAGAGAGACACAGAGTGGAACAATAACCTATATATTGATCTTAGTGAGACATAGAGTAGAACACTTACCTATAAACTGATCTTAGTGAGACACAGAGTGGAACACTAACCTACATACTGATCTAAGTGAGACACAGAGTGGAACACTTACCAACATACTGATCTTAGTGCGACACAGAGTGGAACACTTACCTACATACTG